TCTTCCTCCCCAGCTTCTTCCTCCTTCTCCTTTTTTGCCTTTCGTCCCCTCTTAGGCTTAATCTCCTGATCTTCCTCCCCAGCTTCTTCCTCTTTTGCTTGTCGTCCCTTCTTTGGCTTTTTCTCCTTGACTTCTTTCTTCTCACTAGCTTCCTTCCCCTTTGCTTTTCGTCCCCTCTTCGGTTTGGACTCTTCCCCATCCTCATCATCGTCCTCGTCATCCTCATCTTGTTTGCCTCCTTTCCTTGTCTTGCTTGGCTTTGCTAGTTTTGTTTGTTCTGCTGGGCTGATGTGCTGTGTTTCTCGCATCACTTTGCGGGCGGCCTGCGTGCAAAGTTGATAGCGCTCAATACGCCTACAACGTACGTACATCATAGACGGTTTGAGTTTGACAAGAAGCTAGCCTCCTCAGACTTGGCAGGCTCATGAGTTCCAATCTCCAACGGCTCCACAACAGGCGCCGGCGCAGCAGTCGGAGCTTCTGGGTTTTCTGGTATTGGCGGTTCAGGGGGCGCTTCCAAGTCATGAGGCTCTTGGGGTCTCTCATCCTTCGGAGACTCGAGACCACTCAAGGGAATTGACCCTTCCTGGAAAGATTCCGGGGTATCTTGGTCGGTTGGTTCAATCGTAGGCTCGGGCTCGACCACAGGTTGGTCATGCATATCATTCAAACATAGAGTCTTTTGGCGGAGAAGTTCAAGGTCGGCAAACCTGGTTGGTTTCCCTCCGGGCAAGGGTATGTCCTCAGGTGGGTGTTGCGCAATTTGTTCCATCGCTTCCGGGCACATGAGCTGGGTTTCCACATTGTCCATCATACCTTGCAAAGCATCGATCAGCATGCACCATATGAATAAGATCTACATCGAAACAAATATCAATATAAATCGATTATATATCTTGCATGTGTGGTGCCATGCGGAGTCATCGACTTGCTTTTCTCAACGATGTCCATCGCTTCCTTCTTCTCCATAAGTTTTACAAGATTCTCCAGTTCAATGGCCATGGCCAACTGCACTTCCAGTTCGGACTGCCTGGGATCCTTTGGGGCACTCCACGAAGATGGTTCAGTAGGACCTAGAGATTCAGGTCTTAAGTCAAAAAATGTTGGATTCGATTATGCTTTCGATGATGTGCGCCCAATGTTATATAATATATATATATATTTGGCCAAGCAGCCCTTTGGCGAAGGCGTGATGAACAACTGTCGGCGAGCACCTGGGCCAAAGCTGGAGGGATACACCCGGCCGGTTGGGTATGAAACTGCATGGTTTTGAACGGCTTGAAACTCGGGACCTGACTACCATCAGAGACAGAGCCAGTATCTCTCGGTTCTGGAGAAGTGATCGATGGATGTGGGGCATGGGCACCAACTTCCGCAACGGGCTCAACCTCCTGGTGGTTCAAGGCATGTAGGCCCAAAAAAACTTATATGCTATGACTTGGGAACATCACGAGAAAACTCCTGAATGGGATCATGTTCTAATTCTTCTTCTTCATCGCCCTCTTCATTGTAGAACTCTTCTTCCATGTCTAGTGCTGCTTCAGCATCAGCTTCGTCACCAAGGGTACTTTTGGAACTTCTTGACGACTCTGACCCTAGGATGGACATGGTTGGACAGTGCAGGGGTATATAGGCGTACACGCATATCGGGCTACGTGAGAAAAATTGAAGAGAGTGAACTTTCATCCAAAAGGCTCTCCGGCCATGGGATTCCAGCCGCTTCAAATAATGTCCTTTGTGCTTTGTTTCTAGGACATGTCCCACGCCCAGCCCAACGCTTCCAATCCGAAATCAACCTCCGGATATACCAAGATGGCTTTCTGATGTCTTTTCCTGGGCCAGAGGTGGATACTGCATGTACATGCATGCACGCACCCACACACATTCACAACCATGAATCATGTCAGTGTTAACAATTCAAGTGGCTCGATGGTGGCCTTTTCCCAACAGGCCGGCAGGCCACCAACAATCGCTCCACAGCATCCCGCACAACTTCGATGGCAGGCTTAAGACCTATAGCTAAGAGGACGAAATGATGGTTCAATCCACAGAGGAAGGGTCAAACAAAGCTGCATGCACAAGACACTCGCAGCATGTGCAAACAAGAAACCCAAGTGCTTCATCACTGGAGCAATGATGATGGTATGTGCCTCCGCGGCATTGGGACTGACACCCAACTCCACGCTCATCAGCTTCAGGACCGACGCCCGTTGCACGACTGCCTCACACTCCATCCATTCCTTCAAGACCGGCCCCACGTCCACCGGCATTGCAACTATAGGGCAAGGAGATGCGAGAACAAAATATATGGATATGTATGCTATGCGCATGTTCATCGACATCAAAATTGATATTTGCATGTACGTGTTCTTGAGACCTCCAGGGCTGAGGTTTCGATCACCATCCCCGCAAACTCAAAACGGCTCACTGCACACTCTGTTTGCAAGAATATCCTGTTGCAGAAGTGCACGCCTCACAAAGAACAGCCGCAGCTCAATGCCATGAGCATTCCATGGCACAGGGCCACAGTGTCAAAAAAGTCTAGATGCATACCTGCAACATTTTTTGATCTAACAATGCGCGTGGGATTAGGGGTGGGATGTGTATGATCGATAGATCGGTATGACTATCGAGCTCCTATGTGAGTTCACCCCATCTGCCACATCATGGGCCCTCCAAGGTGCGCTTCGCACCAGAGCCGGACAAGGGCCTTGGCCTGCACGGGACATACATCATGATCCTGAGAGAGCTGGAAGGATTGGGGGTAATCTATGGGATTCCACAGGCTATGAGTGGTCAGATTTGGGCTCCAAGGCCAAAAAGTGTACATATCAATGAAACCATCAAAAAACGCTCATTTCATCAAATAACGCTACAAAGGCCCAAGAAGTGTAACAAACCCATGGTTTGCCAGAAAAAAGTGCTACAATGGAATCTTCAGGAACTACGTAGTGACGTAGTAGTAATGCCCTTGTTATTAGTAGCTTTTTGCTACTACTAGTAATGCATAGTAATGCCCTTTGCTACTAGTAGCTTTGCCGGCAGAAGAGTGTGTTCTTTTTGCTGCCTGTCCAAGGACCTTACCGCTTGGAATTCATGACGATCCACCGTGCTGCGCTGCGCTGCGGATGAGGACGTTTCTGCACCGACCATCACTTCTAAGCGGAGCCTTCATGGATCTTTCATGGATATTTCCCGAGCTATCACCCGACCCCTTGATTATCCCAACAACTATAAGCTTGTAGATCTCAACAGCTGCATATCCCAACAACTGCCCAAACCGAGGTCAAAAACAAGGCCCCAATAAACCAGCATCGACCACATGCGTCGTCGTCATCATCATCATCATCATCAGCAGCAGCAGCAGGAGGAGCAGGAGCAGAAGCACGGGGAACCCCTTTGAAATAAGCACAGGACTTCTCTGGAGCCGATTCATTGGGTGAGTTCAATCATATGGGCATTTCGTGCCATGTCCAGCCATTAAAATCCAACAGAACCTGCTTCTCTCACCTCCTTCATCACCCCTGCCTCGGCTCTGGTGTGGGCCTCTCACCGCAGGCCAGCATCTTCCGTGCCCTCAGCTTCGTGGAGCCCAGTGCTTCTTCAGTCCGTGCGGGGCCCGGGCACGACTGGCATTGGCCAACAGAGCCTTTCCGAAATAAGGCACCTGACACATTATCTGAGTGATGGTTCAAACATGTTCAAAATCCGAAAACCTGCCGTAGAATGTGCCACATCACCACTGGGAGCTTTCCACATATCCACGACCTGGGAGCCAAGGTGTGGGTGTTAGTGTTTGGTACTTGGAGCATGTGCAAATGCCAACTAAATGAAGCGATGCATCTAAACGCATGCCAAAACAGGCACACTTCCATTTGCTTAGGTTCATCCAAGCTGAAGAGATCTTAGGAGACCCTCTCCCTCTTCGGCTCTTGCTTTTGCTTGGGTGCAACTTCCCCATTTCGGCCGCCCATTCCCACGCACTTTCCTGGCGATGAAGGCGTCGGTCCAATGCACCGAGAGTCTGAACCATGGGTCTGGACTCGAGGCCCTTGAGCTGCAAGATTTGAGCCGCCTGCGGTGCGCCCAGGACGTGCGCCGCCCAGACGGTGCTCGGAAGGACGAGTGTGCGGCTTTCGGCCGTGGGGGGTCCAAAATGGAGAAAACCCCAACTCTGCCTGAAAAGGTACAGGCTTGGACTCTGAGAGCATCCAAATCATCACCACTTCCCTGTTTTCCGTGTGGCCTCCCCACAGGCAAAACTTCAATACCAATAACTATACTTAAACCTAGACCACATCCAAGTCCTCAAATCCCCAAAACGCATGTCGCACAAGCCCCCACGCATTCCAATTCCGCGGGGCTGTTTGACTCAATTCCGCTGGTTGCCTTCATCTGGCGAACCTATCAGAATCGGTTTGCCGCAACGCTTCTGCTTCTCCTTTCGCAGCCTCCGTTCCCAGTCCATCTCGCAACCTCCCAAAGCGTCGCCTGTTGTGAACGCTCCTCGGATAGAAGCACGATTTCCACCGGCTCGGTCCTTAGAAAAAGTGAAAAAAACATGGGTGCAACGGTGCCACCAACGGCATGAGCTTACGTAGTGTTTCTGTCGACAGCCCCCAGCTTCCCGATCTTGAGGCCACATGACCTGCTGGTTCACGTGACCTGCTGCTGGACACGTCAGAACAAGTCCAACAAGTCCAAGGTCCGGTTTGTGACCTGGCTGGCCTTGCGGGGATTGGCAAAACCTTTGCCTTGGGCTGGCAAGAAGCGAAGTTCGCGACCAGACGGGTGATGCCACGAAGAAGTTTTCGGTGCCAAAGTCAGTTCAGTGAGGTCATTGCTGAAGACTGCCACTAAGTAGGCCGTACTAAGGCCTTGCATGGCTATTTCAAACGACATGCTGTGCTCATTTTGGTTGAGGAATCTTGCAGTTCTGAACGAACCTGTGACAGAACCAAGCCGGCTGTTTGATTAATTCAATCCAAGATGGCTCCAGAAACAACGACTTCCAAGGTGAAGACTCGGATTTGACAGTGTGAAGACTCCAAACCTTCTAAACAAAAGGGGGCCAAGCCTGGGTGTCTTTTTTGGGTCATTGTCCTTTCTCTGTGTTCCCAGACGCTCCGTTCAAACAGCTTGGCCCGGTCCCTCAAAACGGGTCCGACAGCGACCCCACCCTGACCCCATCCGGGTCCGACGCAACCGGTCCCACCGGGTGGGTCCCACCGGTCCCACCTGCTTGGTCCGGCTTTCGTCCAAAGGCGTGGGGGGAGAGAGGTTAGAAACCTGGTTTGTGGCCCCCCTAACTCGCCAGACCAGTGAACTGGTGGTTTGAAAGGGCAATTTCAGTTTGAATGACTATACTACTGACTAGTAACTTAGGACTTGTCGGACATACACGCCAATTCCAAAAGCCTATGTCATCAGGATTGATCCAACATTGGCATTTCCTCTTAAGGCCTGTGTCATCAGGCCACAACCATGATATTCATAGAAATATGTATGAGGTATTCAAGGAAGCAGCGCCCGCAAAAACACATAGTCGCACCCTATGTCACCACTGTGTCACCAGGGTGCCAGGCAGTGGTATCTAGCAATATTTAGCTGTTTTTTTACATTTTTTGTCGAGGAGGTGTCCACAGGTCCTATGACACCAGGTTTCCCAACCCAGACATTTTTTTTGCTCGATATGTCAGGGCACATGACTTAGCCCTGGGGGTAGCCAGATTGGTATGTCACTTGCATCACGTTGGCCTAAGTCATTAAACAGTAGTATATATATTACAAATTCCAATAATTGTCATCAACTCAAACACATGCTATATAGTGACAAAACTGTGAATTCATCTGAAACATGGTCTCCGAAGCAAGCCACACTGTTTTCATGACTTCGAAATGCAATGACTCTCATCAATGTGTGATCTCACACGTCGTCGTCAGGCCTCAATCTGTGGTTGCCCCACATCCGCAACGGCGAAGAGCTCTCTTCCACCCGACGTCATCTTTCGCCCGGCCATCTGGGCGCCCCCTACGCATCAAGCCCGACATCCGCAGCGGCGAGGGCTTTGGGCTTGCAAGGCCCCAGTTGTCCTTCCGCTTCGACCGCTCTTCGCCCGCTCTTTCGCCCGCTGGGCCGTGGGACCGAGTGATATCGGGTGCGTTGATCGAAGCAACGCGTCCCATCGAAAGCCGCGAGACCTTAGGTTGGACCAAATAGACCCATACTGTTACACCCAGGTTGGGAAAAAAAAAGCATGGCAGTGGGAAATGGTTTCTTGGAGCCATGTTCCGAATACAAACACCTGGTTGTCCACTTCCATGGTCACTTCGCGGGGTGCAGAATGCTTTTAAACAACTCTACACCGGGAACACAGGGAACACCGGAACGTCCATGGTGCCATCCATCTCTTAGACGTTTGAAAAAGCGTTGGCCTCCCAAAGACGCCTTCTTTCGTCCGGTAAATGGTGCGAAACAAGGAAGTCGATGCGTCAACAAGCCACCATCAAGCCACAAAGATCGTTTGGTCTGTCTCAGAACGACCTTGAAGCTGACCTTTGCTCACCAATGAGCTTGAAGCCAATACATTCAATATATGTAGCGAGCGGAAGACCATGGAACCACCCTCCCGAACATCACGCCCGCGTCCTAGGGCAGCAGCGTGCATTCCTGGCATGCAACAAGTGTGTTTGTGCGCAAACCAGCGAAAATTTGAAGTGCTTGGCCGCTACATCCGAGAGCTACTACTGTACCTGAAGAAGAGTAGGAGGAAGCAGCAAACATAACATAACATGAAGTTGCTGACTATACCGACACATATGTCCAATATAGGCAGCAACCTCTACGCATCCGATGGTTTAGTGAGCTTTGCCACCGAGTCTCGAGTCGAACGAGTCCGGCCAACCGGGATTGGTGACGCCTAGGGCCTAGGAGGATCTCCAAATTAGCAAACGCCGGGCATGCCTAAAACCATCGTCCAAATCTTGTCCCCATGTGGTTGCCATGTGGGTTGTCAAAAATCACACTTGAGATCTACACTCGCTGAAATAACCGAAGTGGATTTTCCGACCCCGTGGATGACAATGTTCACTTCCATGATTGTTTCAGGGAGTGTATGATGCCCGGATGGATATCTTTAGGATTCCCATCCATTCGCACCCCAGGGGGTAGATCCCCATGCCCCATGCCACGTCCCAACGTCCGAACCTGAGGCCATCAGTCTCCACGCGCGTGTGACGTGCAGAAGTTACACCCTCTACTGGGGCACCTGCCAGGGCCGGATCTGAAAAGCATCGTTGGAGCAAGGACGCTACGAACAGGGCTCCTGGCCGTACTACTAACTAATAACAAGAAGCTATTATTAGATGCTATTAGGGGCTCCTGGCCTTATGTTCTTTTCCAATCAATTGGTATGTTCATTCATTTTCCGAGCAGGGGCCACCTGGCCGGTCGACTGTGTCTCTATACCCCAATTCATGGTCTCAATCCACTTGACCCGAAACGAACCATGCGTGGAATTTTCCAGGCACGGGGCCACGAGCGGCATCGCGGCATCGAGTGGCACGCTGAGCGCTGCCACCGTCGAGCTCGAGGGGTGTGAGAGGAGTCAGCCCTGCCCTCGGAGCCCGTTTCACCATTTTTGAATGGGAAGGACCTGGTGTTGTAGTGGAAAATCCTTACTAAAACACATCAAAGCATCTCCGTTCGTCGTGATCGCCCCTCTTTAATGAATGGTGGGCCCCCCACTTCGCTTGGAGTTCACTTCTACACCTTTGGAAGCGAATCACTTGCGGCACACCGAAATCGCCTGAGGACACCCACCTTTCCTTCACGGACCGAATCTTGAAGAGAAGACATAAGGCAAAGAAACCGGACTTTGGCCGTTGTTCCTTTTGGGTCAACTTCCTTCGACCAGTCGAAGAGCCCGTGCGGCACTCGTGCAGCACGAGTTCGCGGCCCGTGCTCTCCCGCGCGCGTTAGCGCGCGCAAAACGCGCGCAAAACGCGCTACTTACGCTGTGGGTAACGGAGACTCTCCCCATGGTCACTACATGAAACTGGCAAAGAGGCTTTAAATCCATACCCTTCCCTTCACGTGCGCTTTTTCTACCATTTGACCAGCCTTTTGGAAAAGGAAACAGCAGAATAAGTACATCGAATGGCCCAGTCACTTCCTAACCTTTTGGTCAACAGGAAACCTGCAAGGTAGATTTTTGGTTCAACAGTTTGTTCAGATGCAGTCAGTCAACGCAGACGTTTCACCTGCGGGAAGTTTAATCCGTATGCCTTCCATCAAAAACACCACCTGTCCCAAGGTCACATGCATCTCCTGCACCCCGCAAATCCTCATCGTCCCTCGTGGAGTCGCTGTGGAGTCCCTGTGCGCTCTCATCCTTTTCCTCAAGTCAGCTCAAGACCCATGTCATCATCATCCCCTGACGGAAGAAAACGGCGAAACGGAGTCCGGGCGCAACACCCCCACAAGTCGTTCACTGCTTGCAATGCAATCGGAAGGAATATCCAAAATAACCATCATGCGACTGACAAGCACAAGCTTCATGTGAATCATTTGTGCTTTTGGGATAGTTCAAGAGCTGATCTGGTTTGAGGATCGGTCATCCTTCATGTTGGAGTCCATCATCTGCTTACATGGCGTCAAAAAGGATCCAAGTGTCCTTCTATCTTCAAAGGACCTCAGGACAGGACACAAAAACACCGAACCCGAAGAACTGCTGTTGGTCACAATACCAGGTCACAAGAACGCCTCGAGAAGACCGGTGAGCTGCCGCAGGGCGCGTAGTGCGCGCGGCGCGCAGCGCACGGCGCCGACGCACAAAAGCCACAACGAGGACCAGGACGAGAACGAAGACCTCGACACCAACAAGATGTGGTTTGAATGAAGTTGTTTTGAAACAGGATCTCTCCATATGCAGACCCTATTTGGAAGGGGAAATCGACCAACGCAGCCAAACCTCTACACCATGCAGGCTCTCAAAGGATTTAAATTACGTGGGAAGAAGCACGATGGCTGCGCCCGGGTTCGCTGCGGGGTTTCGATTCCGCTGTGAACTAGGTGCAACTCTTCAAACCATTGACAGCCTGAGTCAGAGGATTTGTTTCATGTGCGCTCTTTGGTCAAGCCTAATAAACATGCCTTCAAAGATTGACTAAACAAGGTTGGTCAGAATTTGGTATATACCAACCCACCAGCACCAACAACCACAGAATATCGCTCACCTTAATCAATAGAGCTGCACAATTAGCATGAAAAATCATGCAGCCATGCAAGTCGAATTTCCTCATCCAACCTGCCAGAGCCTTCAAGTACGAGGCACAAGGAAGATCACCTTCAAGTACGTCCGTACCGCATCGGTACCGGACGGCTTCGCCGCTTCACCTTCTCTTGGCAGTGAGCACATGGACAACAAACATGTGTAAAGTGTGTAAATACAAGAACTGCGCCAGCAAGACTCCAAACAGAAAAATATAGAAAAACATATTTGTGGGCAGCATGACACCAGCACCCACACTCTAAGTCGCACATTGCCATAAGCATCTGGCAGCAACACCCTGCACCGGCCCCCTGCAGCGGCACCAGCACACTGCCAAGCAACAGCCTGCAGCAGCACCGCGCGGCAGCACCCTGCAATGGCACCACCGCAGACACGCGCGCGCCGCCACAGACATGGCAGCAAACATACTCAAGGTAGAAAACCTCGAACTCGACAAAAGTCGGCTAAGGACTCCAGCAAACCGAGTTGCTGATCCTCACTTTTTGCTATCTGAGTCTCACCCCACCAGCCCCTCAATATGTATGAAAAGAATGAATAAATCAATACAAAGTATATCTCAGAAATTCTCCCGCCCTCACAAATCCAGAAGGTAGAGCGCAGCTCATTTCTGTTCTCCAAAATGCCTCAAACGTGCTTGATAGCCCAGTCTTTCGTCAGGCAAGGTCTCTGCAGACACCAGTGCACACGTAACAATGAAAGTCGTTTCGCTTCTGAACCTTGCGACGACACAATCGAAAGTATGAATCACGGGCGAATGCCAGAGAGAAGCCGACCGGAGTGGCCACTATCGCTATCAAAGCTCGGGAGGAAAGGTCTACGGTCAATGGACGGACATGGTCAAAAGGATTCACTGCGTGGATTCCACACAGTCACCAAAAAAGTGCATGTTCACTCACGCAAGGCTAAACGGGATAAGCCCAGCGATCACCATGGCATGTCTTTAAATGGCTCTGCACTGTCACAAGCCCTAAATTTTCTTTGTCCATCAAACCCCATGTACAACCCATGTCCATCAGACACTCTTCAGGGGAAAGTTGCATTGCAAGTGTCTGTCTTCTCCTTTATGAGGCAGGATGACCTGTTTGAAGTTGACCATCTCCAAAATGCCATGCTTACGCACCCTGCACCGTCAAGGTGCAGCGGCACCAGAACCCACCCAAGCTCCAACGAAACGGCCATACACATCTGGCAGCGGCTCCCGTGCAGCGGCACTAGCACCCAAGCTCGAAAGTGCGCACAGGCGCCTATGATTGCCCACGAGCAGCAGCAGCAGCAGCAGCACCCTGCAGCAGCACCAGCACCCAAGCTCCAAAGCGCACGTGGCCACACGTCTGGCAGCGGCACCAGCACCCAGGCTGCAAGGTTAGATCGGAAACTAATTCGGTCGGATTCTGAAACTAGGTTCTGAAACTGGGGTTCTGAAACTAGGGTTCTGAAACTTGGATTCTGAAACTGGTATTCTGAAACTGGGGTTCTGAAACTAGGATATCCTAGTTTCGGAATCCTAGTTGCGGAATCTTAGTTGCGGAATCCCAGTTGCGGAATCCTAGTTGCGGAATCCAAGTTGCGGAATCCAACCAAATAGTTGCGGAATCCTAGTTGCAGAATCCTGCGCAGTTGCGGAACTCGACTTTATCCCAGGCGGGCCTGCAAAGCGCACCCAGGCACCTCTTCCTATACTTGAAGTAAGAACCTGAATGGCTTTTGCTGGGGAAAACTATGTTTAAAACTGTACAATGTAGTGGCTATAGTAGTGGCTTCTTCTTCCAGTAGCTTTCTGTGCTCCTCTTTGGGCGAACGAATGGTCCCGTTTTTTTACCCCAAGTCCCAGCTCCCAAGAGCGAGCAGCTCCCAATGAAAGAACCGCTGTTTGGTATGAAAGACCCCAAGTTCCTGAAATCCTCCTGGTTTTCGTGTGGTTTTCGTGGATGGCACCGAACTCGGTCTGAAAACTGCTCATCCGAACTTGGAAGCCGTCACTTCGATTCTTTCGTGTACACTCCCGAAAACTAACATAGACTCTGACGTCCTGGCCCCCTGGAAGATTGTTTTCCTCTACTAACCAGTGGTTTTCAGGGTCCATGTTAGTCTTCCAGGGTGTAAAGTTCCTTCAGTACAAGAATATCAGGTGAACTGAAGTGTTTGGACTGACCCATCTGTCAACAGTATTTGACAGAGTAAAACCGGAGATGGCTGGCTTGCCCTCAAAAAAGAGGACTAGAAGCTTATTCAACAATTCGTTTGATACAGTACGGAGCTTCGGCCAAACCCATTCATCCACGAGGCTATCAGGCTTCGTAGTAGTGGTTGTGCTGGATCCATCAGCGCTCTCAGTGGAAGTGGTATTGGTTGTGCCTGAGATGTTGGCAAAGCACCGGAAAGTCTGCAAAGTGTCTAAACATGCTGCATGATGCTGCTGTTTATGGAACGCCTTTGCTGCTGTACAAGAGAATATTGTTGTAATCAAAGCCAGGAACAGCGTCTGACATGCTTGCCCAAGCAAACAAAAGATTAGAAGTTTCCTCAGCAATACCCATCTTGTCTACTGGCCATCACTCAAGCCCGTTCATCCACAAGGCTATCAGGCTTCGTAGTGGTGGTTGTGCTGGATCCATCAGCGCTCTCAGTGGAAGTGGTATTGGTTGTGCCTGAGATGTTGGCAAAGCACCGGAAAGTCTGCAAAGTGTTTAAACATGCTGCATGATTCTGCTGTTTATGGAACGCCTTTGCTGCCATACAAGAGAATATTGTTGTAATCAAAGCCAGGAACTGCGTCTGACATGCTTGCCCGAGCAAACAAAAGATTAGAAGTTTCCTCAGCAATACCCATCTTGTCTACTGACCATCACTCAAGCCCTCTCATCCACGAGGCTATCAGGCTTCATAGTGGTGGTTGTGCTGGATCCATCAGCGCTCTCAGTGGAAGTGGTATTGGTTGTGCCTGAGATGTTGGCAAAGCACCGGAAAGTCTGCAAAGTGTTTAAACATGCTGCATGATGCTGCTGTTTATGGAACGCCTTTGCTGCCGTACAAGAGAATATTGTTGTAATAAAAGCCGGGAACTGCGTCTGACATGCTTGCCCGAGCAAACAAAAGATTAGAAGTGTCCTCAGCAATACATACCTTATCTACAGAATGTGTCATGCTTCGTAGTGGTGGTTGTGCTGGATCCATCAGCATGTTCAGCGGAAGTGGTGCTAGCTGTATCTGAGCATGCCAATACACGTGGAACGAAACAAGGATGCTGCTGGTGCAGTTCTTGTCCAACCAAACTGGTCACGTTCCAACATACTGGTCACAAACATTTCACAACAAACTCGGAAGTCAATGAAACTCTCAATCGTGGACCATGCCATTTCAGGCCGTTGTCGCAAGCAGAATCAATACACCCTGAGGTGGAACGGCCCTGTGGAGGGATGCTACTTGATTCTGGGAAACTGTGGCGGAACGAGACATCAATGGTTTGCTGACATACCTGTACCCATGTGTTGTAACTCAGCCCCCAAAGTAGTCATCAACATTGTCCGCCATGTCATTGCCAGAGTTGAAGTGCCCCAGGGGGGAGTCCCTGGGAAGAGAAAACTGTCTAGTCTGTCTAGTTCAAATGTACGTAAAGCCCTAGTCTCGTGTCTCATCTTTCATCTGGGATCTCTTTCTGCCACATGCCGTTGCGGCCAAGGAGCTGGAACCCGGCAGACCAGTATCCATTTCCCGATCTTCCTCAGCCTCAGCCCGTCAAAGGCCAAACGACTCCATTGCTCTTTGGCCAGTTGGCTGATCAAATTTCTGGCACAACTCACTCCCGAGAAACCAACAACTCAACTCGCTCCGCAGAGCAGACGATGACGAGACTAACATGGGACCCTGAGAATTGACTCGATCTGCAATGGCTTGGTTTTGTTGCTACAAAGCATGTCCACACCAAAAGCAATAGAAAGACCAAACAGCTCTGTGCAAGTGTTTTCACTGTCTTCAGCAGTGATATATATATATATATTGGTAGTCCAACAACAAAAGCATGAGGCACTAAGGGTTTCGAGTTGTAACTCTTTACTCTGTGCTTGGTCATTTGCTAACCAACATGCCAGCGATTCGCCTTGCTGACAAGGTTTGCTACCTCGTACTTTCAACAAAAAAACAAAGAGATATTGGTCTTTGGAAGATTTGACTTACTGTAAGTTACATCTGCCAATCTTACCCTTGCCGGCCGGAAGCAACCAATTCGTTTAGAAGCGACTGATTCGTTTGGCAGAAGCGACCAATTCTTCTGGTGAATGCATTGAGCAGATCCCCAAAGCCTCGACCGGTTCAAAGGAAGTAGAACCTGACGTTAAAACGACCTAACCACCTACACTCCGACGAACACATCACATAGAAGTGGAACACACCCCCGTGTTCACAAAGAAATGGTGTCTTCCATGCCATCCACTTCCGTGTGATGTGTGAGTCAGAGTCGTCAGAGTGTATCTCCTGTAGTACATGGCATTGCACGGCGCCCTGAGCTATACCTGCCAACGAGGCACCTCGAGATCAGCCAGCACCTTGGCATCCTCCGGCTGGATGGGAGGGATCTCCTTGAAAACCAGGTGTTTGGAAACCAAGGAAAAGAGCACCGCAGCAGAACCGGGCGTGTGTGATGAAACGATCCTTGGGAATAGACCTTTGATTCGTGGCGGGCTCAGCTAGACTTGTTGTTTGCTTGCTTGCTTGCTTGCTTGCTAGCTTGCGTGCGTGCGTGCCTGCGTGCCTGCGTGCCTGCCTGCCTGCCTGCGTGCGTGCGTGCTTGCTTGCTTGTGTTTGATTGGCAGTTGCAGTCCATCGAGGTGATTTTGTGGGGTGGAGAGTTTCAAAATTGTGCTTTAACAGCAGCAAGCATGCCCACCAATTGGTATCTGTTAAGTCTTCCAAACAGAGTTGATCTTGCGATGGGAGAAGCAAACATATTGCCCAAGTTGTGCAAAACGGAAATGGCACCATTGGCCAGATCTGTTTGTGGATGTTGGGGTGCTTACTGTAAACGGTACCTCAGCTGGTGTGCTGAAGAGGGGGCTCCAAAAAACAGCAACTATCAACTGTAGGAGCAAGGACGCTACTAGGGGCTCCTGGCGTCGCTACTAGGAACAAGAAGCTACTAGGGGCTCCTGGCCTTACTACTGGGAGCAAGGACGCTACGTGCTTTTTTAATTCAACTGTAGTACCAACTCGGCAAGTTGCGCCATTCGTTGGATGATCCAGCACGACGTCCTCCCAGAGCACCTGCACAGAACGGCCCCGGAGTGTCGAAAAAAAACTGCTTTCAATGGCCTTCTGCGGCCCAGCGAAGAGTTTCGACTGCGCCTGGCCAGCATCATTTTGGAATCTGAGGATGGTCTTACTCTTGTTCACCTCCACCAGAACAAAGCCATATTCCTGACATCCATGTTGACGGGCTTCCCAAAGCGACGCGGCCCAGGGACCAGGCAGGACCAGGCAGGACCAGCACTTGTGGAATCTTGTGGGCCCGCTGTTCGTATTACTAGTAGCAAGAATGCTACCATATAGTAGCTCCTGGCATTGCTATTAGGAGCAAGAAGCTACTAATAACAAAGGGCATCGCTATTAGTAACAAAGTAATTTCATGTAATTTATCTTTACATGTTCTTTCAGCACAGTTGGATGAACAACAGTCTGGTACTGCAAAATTTGTCAAACCGCGTCACAAAATACTGAGCGGTAGAGTCACGGTTACTGGTCTGTGGACGTCTATGGTGAACTCATTTCTATCAAAATGTTACATGCGACACACTTTGCAGACCCTTTTACCAAGGCAAGGGACATCTCTTGAAGAGTATCCAATTTGTAGTCGTTTCATGTCTTTGAAGGGGCCATTGTCCATCGCAGTTTTTGTTTACATGCCGATTGAAACCTTCTCCCCCCTCGTCACGGGAGAAATCCGCTTTTTGGCCGGTGACCACTTAAATCCACTGGCACTGCACACACCAAGCGTCTGGTTTGCTGCCTTGCTGCACGGTGTAGGAGACGTGACCTCCAGCAAAAACGAGGTGGACAAGTGAGCTCTGTCAACGCCAGAATTGCATGTTCAACTATAGATCAACAAAACCCAAATGTACATACGTTTGAACTTTCCCTTACCTACCAAAAACAAGTGTTTCCAGGACGCAAAAAGGACGCAAAGGACAGGTGGCCCCATGGGTCTTACAATGCCACCAGGTCTGTCTTACAGTCTGACTGCACTCTGAATGCAGCGATCATATCCCAATCGACCATCACCGGGGTGGACGGACCAACAGCCGATGCTCTAACCTTTGCTCCATCGAGCGTTCTGAAGGCGGTGGTGGGCGGTCCAAAGAGAGATGGGCGGTGTGGGATGTCCGACGTTTGTTGGATGTTTTTGCTCCGTGGGCGGTCAACACAAGCTGGGTCGACCCGAAGTCGCCCCAACGCGATCGAGACAGGGTCAAGGCGACGCGACGGACACTCCACGCGAGGTGGTCGTGAGTCGAGGACGTCACACCTCCACCATTCCACTGGTAGCCGCCGCCAGCTCCCGACACCACGCAGTAGATGCTGCCCACGCGATCGAGTCCTTGGATTTGCTCCCAAAATCCACCTGGACAAATCTCTCCACCTCTTGCCAGCCAAAATTGACCCAGAAACAAGGAAAAATACAAAAATCCACCTCTTGCCGTTCCTTCTCCAGGAGTCTCAGCTGGTGGACATGTCCCGCGAAAATCACCGAGACGCCCTGGGAGGCCATGAGCGTCAGCATCGGGGTGCCTCAGTTCGAGTCCGGGCGATCGGACGTTGCGATCGGACGCGACTAGGCTCCGAAGGCCGTTTTGAAAGCACCGAAAGAAAAGAAACTGGTTTCTAGCCAGATGTGTTTCAACTCCCCATGATATGCCTGGCTCTAGTCTTGATCTTACCCCCAAACACAGCATAGGAGATATATATATATATATGCATATGAGAGCGCCAAAACTCTGGGCACAAAACCGGTTTTCCGTACTTTGTTCATCTTTGTTCGCTCTATCGCTTTACAATGTCCTGAATGCCTCCTACATTTTTCTGCAGGCTTTCTTTTGAAAACACCACTTTTAAGTAGTTCACTACACAGCAGCCTTTCCTTCTCCCCACTCCCCCAGGATTCTGGAGCTGTAGAGCTGTACATCTCAGGCATCCTCCACAAGGGAGCTTAATATAGACGACATGGAGGCTCCACTCATCTGGACGACATGTCTATCACCTCCCTGGGTCTCTCTAAACGGCACGGCATCACTGCTCTCGTTTCAAGCAACCAAAGCAAGGAGTTTTGATGTGAATCAAACGATCGAGGCGGAGCTGTTTGGGTATCGCTTTTGGTTGTTCACTTTCACTATATCCGCTTTGCAGTGATATCTGAATGAAAATCATCTCACTGACAAACTTTGTATGGAGCTTGTGCACAGACCCTTAAAGGGATGCTTCTCATATATAGCAATCCATCATATATAGAAGGAAATCTATAAAGTCACACCCAAGTTCAAAGCTGTCACCAAATTGTTGCTGCCTGTCCAAGGGGTGCTGGTGGGTGAAAAGCGTGTTTCACACCGCAGGACTTTGGAGGTTTCGCTCCCGTGCAGATCTGTTAGATTTCGCAGGCGATTCGCCGATTTGACGTGCAGGTGACTTCCTTTGCTTTGCAACGTTGCCACGATCAACGTCTTTGTGAACCGGCTTGCCGACATGGTGCTTATACCGCCCTGACCCCCCCCGTCTGTCAGAGAACATGTGACAAAATCAAGGATCACGCGCAAATGGTCCCTCATTCCTGACTCAAGTCCAGTGGAGGCTAGCAGACCGAACAACAGGCAGCAATCAATACTGTTGCGTTCTTTCCACTTCGGTTCGTGCTAGTTAGTTCAGAAGGATGTTGTTTTCTTGAATTGGCTGGGTAATCCAGAATAACTCAAAGGGGAAGGCTGCAGTGGGCAGTGGCTGGGCATCAACAAATCTGTCAGGTCCCTGAAATCGGGCGCAAGGTGCATCGCAAGGTGCATCGCTAGTAGTAACCCAGCAATCTTGTGTTGCCTTGTGTGGTGCTGCTCGCAACAAAACGGTAGCCGCTCTGTTCTTGGGTTATGCTAAGCGGGCGTATCTCGTCCTCAAATCCCATGAACCTGTCATTGTCATAGGTCAGAGCACCCAACATCTCGCAAGGGTGATGCGCCACAACCCACTTCCTTGGAGGGTGATGTGCATTGCTGGACGGGGGAAGAATGCTGGATTCTTTCAAGCCCTCTGGGCTTTTTCATGTAACATAATGTAACTAATGGGTGGTGAGTGAGCAACATATTGCTCTTCTGTTCTGACCGGCCGCAGCGAGCTGAATTTGTTTCTGTAACCGTGGTTGAGAAGAGCCTAGAAGGGCATGGTTGCTACACCCCTGATTCCCTTTGGTCAGAACCTCAACGTACCGATTTTGGAAGAATTAACCAGACTCTCTGGAACTTGAATGCCATGAACCCGGACTGCACTGATCACAATCTCTGATGACTGCGCCCCACGTTTCGACTTTTGGGGGTGCAGCAGTGGTCCAGTCTACAGCAGTAGAACACGCATCCCATCCAATACATGTCGTTTTCGCTTGTAAGAAGCAGCCAACCAAGGTTGATGTGTTCAGCAGAACCCCCGGGCAGCCCCAAACCAACCATTACCGGCTCATCTCACTCAACCCTGGGCTGCCCGCCATCGAACCAATGGTAACCAATCCATCCAAGCAAGCAATGATACAAGACTGTTCAATCCAAAAATTGCACCCCAAAGCAACCGAAGAAGCTGAAGCATTGAGCTAAGATGCCAGGTAGCTTGACTTTTTGGGAGCTCCTCTTGGAGCCACGACAGCTGTCGCTGCCAGAGTTCCGCATGGAAGCGCTCGCACTGCGCAGTGTTGCCTGATGCACGTGGACAACGCAAAGACCGCCTTCGCAGAGGACGACAGAGTCGGAGAAAAAGAAAATAGGGATCCGAAACGTTTTTTATCCGACCATGATTCTTAGGGAACCAAGAAATGTCCTGACTTGATACGGATCCAAAATGGATCCAAAATGGGCGCCGTGAAGAACTCCCCGGTGAATCGCGGGTCAATGTCTCTGCTTTGAGGGACCGAGTCTTCCAAACATCTGCTTCTCAGGGCAAAGGTCTTTGTTTATCATAGGCCATCTGACATGGACAGAGTCAAGCTCATACTACCTGGGGCATGCAACCGCCATGTGAAGCATAGCTCCTCAAAGCCGATGCTCCTATTGTTTGGGCTGAAACTATGAGCAAAAATGAGTTTGCTCCTTCGCCCTGCCTCAGGTGGACAACAACCGTGGGGTTCCCCTGTTCCATGGGCTTCAGGATTGGAATTAGACCGCATCCGATCCTAGACCGCATTCCCTCATCATGGGAATATGTCACCTATCATGAGAGTTCTCACACCTGCTTTTCGACTCCTGGTGAGACAACCTCGGGTTTTTTGAGAAAGAGCCAGGCCCCCAGGAAGTCTGGACCAAGACCAACATGTGGATGGATGTCAGGGCTTGCCCAGCTCCCCAGCTCCAGGAGATTCCAAGGTAGCAAAAAGCGTGCGCTCTGGGTAGCCAAAAGCTTGCAAATCGTTGGAGAAGTAAGAACTTCGAGCTATCTGCAGGGGAAAAAGGTTCACGATCTTGAAAAAGAATAACTTGGCATCAGTAGGTGGAATCAAGACCCCTACATCCATGGGTGCCAAACATCACCCCCGATGTCCTCGTCGTATGCAGTCGACTTGATCCACGTGTCCTTTCTTGCCGTCCCCCAGCAAGTCCCCAGCGCGAGCTGCATGTCTTCTCAAGCGTGATCATCGCTTGTCCATGGCACAGGGAGTGTGAATTCTTCCCGTTGGAGTCAATGGCAAACACATCGATGCTAAAGTCCTGCAGAGTCGATGCGAAAGGACCCCAGTTGTGCCAAGCGGTGAAAGAAACAAAGAAGCCAAACACCACTCGATACGACCGGAAGGCTTTGACAAGCCAACGAAAACCGTGAAGGCTGAAGGGTGTACCCACACAAAGAAAGTTTGTGTCTCTGTGTCTGAAGACAAGAACGCTCCTCATATTGGAAAGACTTCTTATAGAACCGGTCGGGCATGACCCAGCGTTTCCTGGCAGGCCAACCCAACTGCAAATAACATGTTGTTCAATTGGAATGACAGAACTTCATAGAAAACCTGCTTTTGCAGGAACTATCAGAACATATAGCTGAAGTAAACAGAATGAGAAACTTCACCGCCAGTGGGTCTCAAGAGTCCTAGGCACGAGGGGTTGGGGGAACAAGAGATGATGGTGTCTGGCGTCGGCTTCGCCAATTGAAACAGTGCACCTGCACTCTGGGTATGTTGTTTCTATAGGTGTACAATCAGTGCAGCACCTGCCAAGTGCAGCCCAGTGCTGAAGTTGATTCGTTTCTTGTTTCAGCTTTCTCAACCCGGCCCGCCTCTTTGGAGCCTGAGTTGCACAACGAGCCAACCATGGTGCTGTTCGCCCGGGTGTAGTTCATTTATCACAGCGAAATCGTGCTCACCTTCATGCTCACCTCGCCTTTGGCCGCGAAACTCACTCGTTGGACTTAAGACCTTTGCAACGATGTTCAAATCATATGTGATCATATGTGTACCAGTTGCCCCAATAAGACCCCTGTTTTGATAGGAAATGATATTCAGGTTCTAGGTGTGTAGATGAATATGTGTATGTGTAAATATATATATATATCTTATGTATACACACACTTGGACGAAACACATCGCATGGAAGTGGAAACCGCCCTGTTTGTAAAGGAAAGTAATTAGTCATCCAAGGGTCGATGTTCCACTTATCATGTGATGTGTTCGTCGGGTAGGATGTAGAATCTACTATTACGCATCTACACACGTGTTTTCTTTGTAAAGCGATCTGGCGTCATCTGCTTCACAATGTCCCCAGAGGCCCCCCCGCCGGGAACTCCCACGTCTTCTCGTCGTCGTAGCCGATCTGCGCTCCGCTACACCCGCCCGTGCCACCCTCAAAGAGGCAGCTGTCGCACTCGTGACCACCGTAGTCGTGGTTGCCCAAGACCTGAAGGGGAAAAGCATCCCTCGACTGCTCGTCCTTTGTGTCCACGGTTGAAAATGGGGGATGTGAATGCAATTATTTTCATGTGTTCTCCTCTCTCCCATCCGGACAATACAGCAACCAAAGTTTGGGGTGTCGAGTTTGTACAAATGAGCTTCAGATTTGAATGCCGTGAAGAGCTTGAACCACTCCAATGGGCTTCAGACGCCCATACCAAGGATCTTCACCTGCACAATCCTTTTTCTGGCTTCAAGGAAAAAAGGACGTTCGTCCATCGGCAGCACCTTCGTGACACCCTCCTTCTGTGACACCGAACCCTCCTTTCGGCGTTTGACTGGCGTGGACCGGGCGGGACCGGCGGCCGTCTCCAGGAAGAAGCGGAGCCACGTGGCCGTACGCATGAGTTGGTCCGTATGCCGTACGCAATGGCGCCACAAAGAATCCGCAGTGTCGAAATAAGACTGGGTGGTGAGTTTGGCGATGTGCCTGTGTGTTGTGTGTGTGTGCCACCTGTGTTTGGGCCTCACTACGTATAGCTGTATAGCTGTATGATGTGTGCAGGACAGCGGGGCACTCAGTTGAAGAGTAACCAGGGCTCAGGTTGTACCCAATTGAAGAGTAAGCTCATGGCCGTGAAGTCCATGTCAGGACCCATCGCTCCATGTCATCCCCCTCCTTCGATCCCTCAACCCGAGTCGCGACACCCCAAAACGCTGAGCCTCGGGCAGCAAGCCAGGGGACGTGCAGGGATTCGTTTTGATAGACCTCCTCGAACCTGGGCGAACTGGACACATGATCCAACCTGTTTCAGGAGCTTTCGGGAAGATTGGGAGTTGGGTCACTTGGAGCCTGATTGATCTTGACAAAAAATGAAAGGAAGATAATGTGAAGATAAGCTTCCTGTATATAATGTAAAGTAAAGTAAAAAGTAATGTATATAATGTAATGTGATGGGATGGGATGGTATGGTATGGTATGTACGTATGTATGTATGGCCCATTTGGCCAAATTCCCTGTGAATGGTTTTGAGACCCGGCATACTTGGTGGACAAGACTCTGGTCATGCTGGTGCCGCTGAACGTGACCGACCCTGTCTGCCTTCCGGTAGGCAGAGACCCATCTCCTCAAACGCACCTCCCACCCATCTCTGACAACACATGTTGAAAAGCTACGCTGCTACGTGTTGGAGAACCTTTCCGAAGGATTGATGATCAATCCAACAACAACACTATGTCACTTTGATGGAAACCCCACACTATGTAGTGCCACCCATCCAACAACACGTTGGCAATATGTCCTTTTGTTTCCTAGCTTTCAGGCCCACCCTCCTCATCTTCAAACCTTTTTCACAGCAATTTCCGTAACATCTGCCCGAGAGATCATTTTCCAGAAAGAAATCATATGTAGCGCCCTACAGCAAACGAGCTGATGTCCAATAATTGCAGTAACTATACCATCATCTGCAGCAGAACGCCACCAAATGTGCTGGCAGCACCTCAAAAGAATTGAAGATTAGCTTCTCAGCAGTTGTCCATGCGCCTATCATCACCTATCTCACCCGCCCTCTGTAACTATTCAGACTTGGTCTTCCCACTACCTTGCCACGTTTATTCTAAGGCGAGTTGGCCACAGCAATCCCATCAACCCACCCATCTGTTCCATGCTGCCATGGCTCATGTTCCGCCAGTTCAGGTCTACATCATCCATGACTCCTCGTAGATAGAAGTTGTCACCAGTGGAGATCACAAAATCTAAACTCACTCGCTCAGCCACTCGGCCCATTTCACTGGCCACGGAAGACCTGGGTGGTCTTCAAGTCACGCTTCGGGCATCGCCAACATGCCGTTTGCCGCGAAAGAGCACGGTTCTTCTTGTTCTTGTTGTTGTTGTTGTTGTTGTTGTTGTTGTTGTTGGTAGAGACAAAAACAGCCGCCCAACATAGTTGTCACATGTTGCAAGTCAGGGATTTCAATGGGATTCTGTTAGGGATAGGGTCGAGGGTTTGGAGAGATGTTAGTAGCTGGACTTCTTGTCGTTGTGGTACTCAAGTCTTGGTTGGTCTGCTTCTTGTTTTTTGTTGTGTTGTTTTGGGGGGGGGGGTCAAAAAACAACAACGGGGTTGCAGATTTTGTTTCTAGGGGGGGGTAGAGACAACAACATCTTTTGGAAGGGGGGGGTCCAAAAAACAACCACGGGGTTGCAGTTTTTGTTTCTAGGATGTGGTAGAGGTTCTAAGTAGAAGTTTTACAGGGTTTACTTAACCAGTTACAATAAGCATCAGTAGCATGACCCTCAGAGGAGTTTCATAGACCCTAAGAAGGCGTCTAAATCGACCATATTGTTCCATTGGAATCCAAAAACTTCCAGGAGTCTCCAAGAAAAGACTGATTTTCAGTGCATAGATTGAGAACCGAGTTTCCACCCCCTCCGCCTCCGCACACGCCCCGCGCACTGTCCACACGTCCCGGGGTGGGGGGTGTCTACCACTAGTAGTAGTAGCACTAGTACCACTAGTAGTAGTAGCAGTAAAGTGCTTGTTGTCCGGTTGTTTTGGGGGGGGTCAAAAAACAACGACGGGGTTGCAGAATTTGTTTCTACCCCCTTGTAGAGAAAAAGAAAGAAGATGTGGTGTAACGGGGTTGCAGTTTTTGTTTGTACCTTGTTGTTGTTGTTGTTGTTGTTGCTGTTGTTGTTGTTGTTGTTGTTGTTTTCTTGGGACCCAAACGAATGGCTCGACTCGACTTTTAAAAGCTGATCAGTGAAAGAGTCCCATAGCAAATCCAAAGAAAAGCAATTTGCCACCAGGCTCAATTGGGGGTTCCCCAGGCTTTGCAAACCATTGGGTCAAGGTAGGAAAGCAACCGAAACGACAATAAAACCTCAAGGTGTCTCTCGTTGGAAGCTAATGAAGTTAAAGCTGAGAGTAGCATAGCATACGCCTTCGGAGCTGCGTTTCATGTTCCAGGAGACATGTGTGTTCAGAAAGAGTCTCAAACGGGCGCGTGGTCAGAGCCATCGGGACATTTACACCAGAGCCATCGGTAGATCCCTTTCAGAAGATGTTTGATGATCTGATGGAAGAAAAAAAAGCGCGTGTCCTGTAGGAGACATCTATCGAAACCATTTAAAACTTATCTTGGCTTGGGATAGTCTAAGTGATTATTACACTCGGTCATGATACAACCAGGGCCAAGATGTGTTCAGCATAGCTTGAAAAAAAAGGGGCCTGGCCAATGGACCGCTGTGACCATCAAGAATTTCGCATGGCCTTTCTGGAAGCATACTTCCCCTGGTTCTGAGAGTGACACCGATACAAATCTGTATCGATCTGTGTGCCACGAAGAATGGCCAAGGAAGACTTCAAGGCAGGCATGTTCGACAGCAGTCCATTGATGCCTTCGATGAGGCTTCTAACTCGAGGCACATCTAGCGAAGATGCCAGTCTGCTGCCCAGATGCTGTGCAAAGCTATCCTTCCACCATGCCCAACTGCTTGGGTCACATTGCTTCCTCGGCTCAGCCCACCGAGCTTTGCCCAATCTTTCACCGCTCCCCTCAACCAACCGTGGATGTGTTGGCGCTTTTTGTGGGCGGCTTACTGGTAGGCCCATACTGTAGACTCTTAATCCATCAAAACCGAGTGAGGAGCGGGGAGTTGTGGAAATGCTTATCAATCGATTCTCCTTGCTGACCCATCCTGGTGACCGATACCAATTTGGATTGTACTGAGACATGGTGCTTGGCCGGTTCTGTTTTGAATGATCACGGGCACGGGGGGCCATCACCGAATACAGATCTTCGATGAAAAGAGGAAGAACTTGCTCATCCCAAATGCCAAGGAGGATAATGAAAGCCCTGACCAGATATTCTCCAACTTCGTCACTTTGCCATGCGGTGCCATCTCCTTCTCCCCTTCTGAGTGTTGCGGAGCAGTTTAACATCAGCCTGAACCACTTGGGCCGGCGGGCCTACCTGACTCCTTTTGCAAAGAACCGCCGCTAGAGGTTCAGTTGGCCCAAGTTGAATTGTCACTATACCGTTTCGTGAGCGACTTGAAAGCCGCTGATCATGAACTGGAGTTGTAAGTGTAAACCTGCTCAAGACCATTCCTTTCGCGGAGATGGCGGACGAAATCTCTTGTAATACCAGGTACTACAAGCCGACCTTGTTGCTGGGATGCGTTTCTTGGTTCCTGGTCATGGGGATGAACACCTTGTCACATCTCCCCTTGGAAAAGAGATGTGAAAAACCTTCGACAGAGAGGTGAGACAGGTTGAACCCTTTGAGTTCGCTGAGTTTCGTGCCCCAGAGGCCTGGCTGAAAAGTGCAAAGGTGATGAAGAGATCCACATCGAAGAAAGCCTGAGCCAAGCGAACTGAGGAACGTCGGGTCGGTGACCAGGTCAAAGCTGAACCGTTCAAAACAGGCACGAAACACTAAAATGCCATGTAATGGCTTGGTTTGAAACACCAGAGAAAAAGTCCTGCAAGAAAAAGGAACAAATGCTCTTTGTTTTATGATATCAATCCTCCCTTCCCATGTGAACATGAAACATCCTTTGGTGTAAAGAAGTTCATCGTCATTGGTTTTTTTCAGAGGTGACATTCTCCCACCCCAGAAAAAGG